TTGGGCAAGAGAAATGATTTACTTCGGATGGAAAGAACTTCTGAGAAACAGCTGAGTACCCTTCCTCTTCTTCTAACTTAACAGGTAAGCATGGGGAAAGAGTGAAGGGGCTGAGCAGTCAGACGAGAAAGGAGAAATATTATTTATTTATTTATTTATTTATTTATTTATTTATTTATTTAGGAAGCTTCTATGCCACCCCATTTGCCGAAATATGGAGGTAAATAGGATGGATGCAAGAGGAGAAACAAGAGAAGAGCAGAACAAGGAGACGTGTGGGTTGGAAATTAAACTGGGAAGTAAAACCCAGAAGCAGTAGGCTAAAAGTTTTAAAAGCTTGACTAGGGTCCAAGCCTGGTCCTGAGTAGCAGGTCAGTGCAAGATAATTTCCTGCATGGGGTGTGGAACAAGATGGTGCTTCCTGTTCTACCAAAAGCAGATTACGGGACAGGCGGGTGAGCCTTGCTTTGGCCCTGGTGACTGAGGAACATCCTCTGGCATTCCTGAGGGCAGCAAGTTAATCGAGGGAGTGCAGAGCAGGTTGCTTGCAGCACACAGGTCTGGCTTCCAGCCGAGGCTGATAATGAGGGGGCAAAAGCTGCTGCCCCCCTCCACCCAGCAACTGCTGCCTGGGGCGGCAGTCCCACCTGCCGAATGATAGGGCCAGCCCAGGGAGGGAGTCGAGGCTCTAAAAAGGATCCACAGAGAAATGAACCCAACAATGCTGGGGGCCCTGAAGCAATCAGTCTGTCTTGCAAAGTGAAACTGGGCTGCTGGGGATGATAGGAGTTGAAGTCCAGCACTTCTGGAAGGCACCCAGTTCAAGGAAGCCTGCTTTAAGTGCCCATTAAAATAGCATGCTAAAAACTGGTGCTGTCATTTTTCAAAAAACAAGCAGGGCCAAGATGGAGCCAAGCTTACTCTGTGCTGTCTTTCTGTGCTGTTTTCCTGAAGCTGCTGTACATATCGAAACAAAATGATTATAAAAATATGAGAGCCAACATGGCATGCTGCTTAGAGTGGGGGACTGAGGACTTGGGCAACCAGGGTCCTAGATCGTGCTCAGCCATGAAGCTCACTGGGCAACTTTGTGCCAGAAATGGCTTCTCAGCTCACCCACCTTGCAGGATCTTTGTGAGGATCAAATGGAGCAACGGAAGCTGCATTGGGTTCCTCACAACAGGAAAAAAGGCGAGATATAAATGCATAGTAAGACTATGTGGCAGAACTGCCTAGGGTAACAAAGCTTGTCATTCCAAAGTGAGAAATGCATGAATGAGGGGAGATGCTACCACTCAGAGGCAGTATTGGGGGGTGACCTACGAGGGTTGGTGCTCCAGATCTCTGGGAACCCATCTTCCCCACCACCTTGCTGTCCCTGGCCACCTGCTGAAATAAAAATACAGTGACCCTCGTAATCTCTGTTGCATCTGGGCTCCCTGAATGCATAAGTTTTATGCCCACTCCTTGAATGTGTTTGCCAGAGGTTCTTGCTTGACATCAATGCTTGCCTCTCTCCTGCCCATGCCTCCTCCTCCTCCTCCTCCTCCACCACCCCCATCCCCACCATCAAATAGCAGTATTCATAGAAGATTGGGCCTTTATTCTTTTACAAATATACATTTATTGTGTGTTACAAAACCAAAACCAAACCATACAGAAAGAAAACAAGAATAAAATAAACCAAAACATTAGAATTTGGGGTAAGAGTTAGAAAGATCCAAAGCACCAGTTACATATATTCTATACATCCCTATTGTGTATCTAACACGGTACACCTAAACTGGACTCGGAGAATGAAAAGCACTAGAGGCCTGCAGTTGGGCGAGGTGCTCCAGGAAGTGGATGCTGATCTGCTCACAGCACTCTTCTCACTTCCTAGATCTGTCTCAGTGCAGCTTCAGGCCTGATGTTGAAATGAAAGCCCTGCTTCCCTTGGACTACTCGGGTATCACTATCGCCCTAAACGGCTCTGGTGCGCCTGCAACTGGAGTATTGTGCTCAGTTCTCGGCCGCTCATTACAGGAAGGATATAGCCAGGTTAGAGTTAGAGTCAGTGCAGCGAAGGGCCACAAGGTTGGTGGCCGGTTTGCAGGGGATGGGGTATGAGGCGAGACTGAGGGAACTGGGTCTCTTCAGCCTGGAGAAGAGGAGACTCAGAGCGGATATGTTGGTGACATACAGGTATGTGAGGGGGTGTCACACGGATGTGGGTAGAGACCTGTTCTCCCCTGCAGAGGAAGGCAGGACGCGCTCCAGCGGAGTAAAGCTCAGGGAACCCAGGTTCCATTTAGGTGCCAGGAAGCACTTCCTGACAGTTAGGACCCCGAGGGTGTGGAATGGGCTTCCACGAGAGGTCGTTGAGGCCCCATCGGTGAGGGTGTTCAGAGATAGGCTGGACCTGCACATGGTGGGCATGTCGTGAGCGGAGCCGGCTGGTGCCGGAGGTCAGACTAGATGGCCCGGGAGACCCCTTCTGACTCGCTCTACAAGTTGCATGTTTCTATGAGTCATATGTTTCTATGTTACTCAGCAGCTTTTGATCTGCATCGTCTGTCTGACTGGGGTGCAGAGGCATTGAACTGTGGGGGTTTCAGAAACTGCGGCTGGGGGATTTTTGCTCCCCCCCCATGGCAGTTATCCTCCAGGGTTTCACGGGGCTCTCTTTTACCCATGGAGCACAGAACTACAGAGAGGGGTTATTCAGAGATGTGGGCTGAAGTACCACCAGCAAGTGAATGATACCAGCTCTCACTCTCCTGTTCTCTCCCACTGCTCCCCCAAGCTGCCTTTCCATCTAATACCTGTGAAGCAGCTGGTATTCTGAGCCAGTTCTGGGGGAGGGAAATGGACCAAAGAAGGCCCAAAAAGGTGAGCTCCAGTCCAAACAATTGAAAGCACTGTGGATGCTTGGCTTGTCTGTCCAGCTGAGTGGTGCTTACCATGTTCTGGGGCACACTGCACTTCCCCAAAAGTTAAAGTTTATTGGCTGGGCATAGGGGTGCTTTTGACTCGGTGGTAGCTCACAGCACCTCGTATCAGCTACCTGCACAAGAATAGACCATTATTCTGGCTCCGGTAACCTCCCATTACTCTCAGGATTAACTTGCAACCTGTTAAATGAGGGGCTGCCTGGAAAACCAGCTCAAAATAGGACAGACAGATGGTTAACTGAGATTGGTCATTTTATGCCAGTACTTTGTTATCTGCTCTGGCTGCCCATCCATTTCGATGTTGAATTCAAAGAGAGGGCAATATTAAAACCCTGAATGGCTTGGCACCAGGTTACCAAAATGAAAGTCTCCTTCCATATAACTCTTCCAAGTTTGTAAGGACATCATTTCAGCCCTGCAGGGCCCACCATTGAATGTGGCAAGGCAGGTGGCTATGAGAGAGGGAAACTTTTCAGTGCTGCATCATTCCTTTCCCAGAAAGGCTCACTTGGCACCTACACTGTGGTCATCCCAGTGCCAAGTGGAGACCTTATTTTCCCAATCCTTTAAAAAATGTTTTGGGATTTCCAGATCATAGCACTGCTTGTATCCTTTGCTGCTCTTTCGCTCTGGTTTTATCTAGTACCAATCTTGAGTGTTTTGATATTGTTGGGAAAGTCCAAATAGAGCCTTACATAAAAAGGTATGCTTATTGTGAGTCTTTTTATTATTAAAATAATAAGCAGTGCCCTTACTCCTCTCCCTTAGAAGGGACTAGAACTTTTCACCCAGTTCCGTATGCCTGGGAAAGCAGATAGCCCTGGAGGCTTCAGAATTGTATCCATTCACCTGCAGAGCAATCATACAGGGGAGGCTGCAAGATGCATCCTATCAATAGATGAGAACCCTTAACCCTTTCAGGTATGCTTGCACATGCCTTCAAACTGCGGTTACATTCCACACTTACCGTGCAATTGCAAAGTAAGACAAAGTATCCCGCTAGCTCTCCGGCTGGGAGAAGCAGCACTGAATAGATTCTCTTTGTCCTGATGTAATCTCTTTCTACACCTGGGATCAGTTATAATTCATATCGCTCAACTATTTGTCTCCTCATCACCCTATAACTCTGGAACATTTTGTAACATTGTTCATCACCCTATAACTCTGGAACATTTTGTAACATTGTAACAAGCCTTACATTGTTCTGTTTGTACTTGTATTGTCCTCTGTAAATGTATCCATTCATCCCTCATCATCACTCCAAAACTGTGTATGACCCACAACCTAGAGAATATTCTGTATATGCTCAGGAAGCTTGTAGTTGGTTTGGTTCACTGGTACCCTGCAGTGTTGTTGTTGTTGTTGTTGTTTTTCTCTGTCAGAGAGGGATGTCCTGTCAATAAACTACTGAAACTGAATGTAGCATCTTCAGTGTGAATCCGAACCTACATTCTCCTGGTTCTATGATTCTGAGATTTCCTGACAATATCTCATCTTTTTTGTGAGTTTATTCTATTTATTTATATATCATCTAAAATCTTGGTCATTAGGTGGCTTAAAAATGTAACAATGACATACTTGAACCGAAAGTTATCTCCCAGGAATTAGACTTGCATAGCGAATGTTTTGACTTTCCTCCACCAGAACCCTTCTTTTTGGGCAATAGCAAAAGTGCGTATAGTCAAGGTGGCTTTCCCAGTTGCAAAGTATGGCTGTGAAAACTGGACCATAAGGAAGGCTGAGCACCAAAGGATTGAGGCCTTTGAATTGTGGTGCAGGAGGAGACTCCTGCCAGTCCCTTGGACCGCAAGGGGATCAAACCAGTCAGTCCTAGAGGAGATCAACCCTGACTGCTCTTTAGAAGCCCAGATGCTGAAGATGAAACTCAAATACTTTGGCCACCTAATGAGAAGGAAGGACTCCCTGGAGAAGAGCCTAATGCTGGGAACAATAGATGGCAAAAGAAGGAGGGGACGGCAGAGGATGAGGTGGCTGGATGGAGTCACTGAGGCAGTCGGTGTGAGCTTGAGTGGACTCTGTGGGATGGTGGAGGACAGGAAGGCCTGGAGGAATGTTGTCCATGGGGTCGCGATGGGTCAGATGCGACTTCACAACTAGCAACCACAACAAATTTCTTGTATAGCTTGATGCCATGATCTTGGCTCTAGACCAAGGAGCTCAGAATTCTGTTAAGCTTGACTCACTGCACTGATCCTCTTCCTTCAACCCCCCTGAGTAATCACAAACCCATGTGAAACAGCCTGTATGTTACAGTCATAAGCACAGACTCTTTTGCTTGTGCCCCCACTCACCTGGTGGGTATTTGAGGCAGAACCTTTTGGGGAACAGCAAAAGCCCCTCCCAGGAAAGGTGAGATCATTTCCTTCCTTGTTTTGGTTTAGGAGGGCAGTAAATACTATTGCCTTTTTATGGACTTCTAGTTTGTTGCTCTTTAATACCACTCTTAAATTGTATTGTATGGTGGAGGAACATTTTTCTCCTGTGATTCTTTGTTTTACGTGAGCATTGAATGCTGTTCTTGTACAACACCCTGGGCACCTGGTTGGTGGCATCTAAAATTTGATGCTTACAATAATGGGCCATGGAGTAATTCATTCTGTAGAAGGTATTCCTTGCTACGTGTGCAGATACATGAAATTAGAACGATGAGGTTCACTGTGTTCTGAAAAGGCTCTTGTATTCCGAAATGGTATTTACTGGGTGGAATCCAACATTGTTCAAGTTGTGCTCTCCCTCATTGGGACTTTCCCTGCATTTCTGCTCCCACAGAGCTCCAGCCCAGGTCACTGGAGCAGAATTGGCAGTCAAGGTGGAAGCCAAGGAGGGAGGGGAAATCCATCCTGCCGGCTGTGTTTGTTCTGTCAGTAGAGGAGCAGCTTTGAATACAATCAGATGAGTGCCGTTTCAAGTTCAGTTGCTTGTTTATTTTACCGCTTTGCTGTGATTCCAGATTAACAAATGCCTGGTGATTTTCATGTGTCTGGAAGTGATTCAGGAACACTGTTTTCTTCATAAGGTATAAAACAGCCTGAAAATAACAGTAGGACACCACTCCTGAAAAAAGGAAGATGCCATCCCAAAATGGTGCTGAGAGTAATTCAAATGAACTGGAGCATTTGCCTGGACCTGAGCAAGCAAACCAAGCAGGTAAAGTTAGATTCACAGTTTGTCATATGAAGAAGCAAACTGGTGTTCTTCCTAGCACAGCGTCTGGCACTGCTGGGCTTGTAAGGTTGCAGATTTCTGGCATGTGAGGTATATGTACCTTTGGCCATTCAGGTGCTACCTGTGGAAGGGGAACTTCAAAGTCCCTGATGCTCCCACTTCTTATAAACCAGACTTGGACTGGGCTTTCCTTTGAATATAGGACTGTTCTCTGTAAAACAGACAAATGGCCCCCCTACTGGAAAGTAGGGTGGCTGGGTGCCCTATTTTATAGAGGACACTCCTCTGTGTTGGAGGGCTGGCAGAAGCCAATGCATGAGAATTTCTCTGAATTTTTCATTTCGTTTGAATTGCTTTTCCAAAGCAATTTCTTTCCATCAAGCTGAATAAGAAAACCAGAAAAATGGTCAGAAAAATGTGGGGGAGAGTTTTGGCACAGCATGAAAAATAAGATGTGGACACCTACTAAAACTGGAAGCTGCAGGATGTTAATGGACATTCAAGGTCAAATAGCACATCCAGCAATTTTCCTTAGACCTGACTGGAATGCGCAAAAGAAAATGTACATTGTGGAATCACACTTGTGTGTTGTTGAAAAGGACTGCTCAGAGAAACGGCAGTGTGTGTACCATTACTTATGTCCATACCGCAATGGGTCTGCTCCAGGAGTAGATGGAGCCTCCAACCTTTCCTAATTTGTCAGAGCTTGCTTCTCTTTCCCCATTTTATCTGATCACATCTCTCCTAAGTCCTTGCTTGTCTTCATGCTTTGTTTCTATTTTTCCTGGCAGAAATTAGTGCTGGGTCCAGGTTTCGGGGGGCCCTTGGGCAAGACACCCTCCATGGGCCACCTCTCTCAGTAGCTGACCTTCTCAATGCAGATGCCCTCAGCGGCTCTTGCACCTCCTGCCACTGGCTTGCTGGACAGCGGAGAGCCTGGGAGCAAGGAGGCAGTGGCTACCCCTTCGCCTCACCACCACCCTTGTCTGGGCCAGGCTGAGGAAGAGGAGCAGATCTAAGGGGTTCTTGGCAGTGGGCCACTCCTGGAGTGTGGGCCTTGAGTGGGTGTTGAACCAGGCCTAGGCCTGCACCTTCCCTGGCTGCAGATGTGCCATGCAATGCCGCTTGAGGTCGACTGTGGCAGTAGAGGATTTCTTGATGCAGGCCGGTGTGTGAGGCTGCCTGGTTTACTTGGCCCTGAATGCAGGCTTCCTTTGGCTGCTGCTAGCCGGGTTCCACCCAGTGGCCCCTCACCTTCCCTTCACCCCCTGCCCCATGTGTGTCACACTTTGCTGGGGGCAGAGCGGAAGGCAGAGAGAGATTCCCCAAGTCACAGCAATCGTGGTTCCTGCAAGCGGTTTTCACATCTCTCCTTCCCTCCTGATCCACCCCATGTAGGAGAGTGCAGAGATGACTCTAAACAAAAAGCTGTCTTGCTAGAAAAGCAGCCGGACTTTACTCTCTTGTAAGGCTGCCTTTATTTGAGTTGCAGGGCCACACGGAGTTCGTCCAGCGGGTCATTGAATGAGGCTGATGGGCACTCACACGTTTCTTGCTTTCTCTTCCTTTTTGCACCAGAAAACACCAGGAAGTGCAAGTGGCGACCACGTAAAGAGCACATTTTTTGGATCCTTGTTTGTGCCAGCCTTTTAGCTGGTAAGCTGTCCACATCCAGGAAACACTCCACTTTGGTCTGTCTGTCCTTCATTAGTATCTGGTGGACTGATGAAAGCATGAAATTGCTTGTGGATTTTGTTTTCACCCCAGTGGGCAGGTTTTCTTTCCAAATCACTCATCCCAAATTGATTTTTATACCCATAAGAGAGAGGAATGCACACAGGATCAACCCTACTATTAGGCAGAGTGTGGCAGTTGCCTTGGGTAGCATCTCATCATCATCATCATCATGTTTTTATCCTGCCTTTTTTCCTTTCAAGGCAGCCAACATCATTCTCCTCCTCCTGCTCTCAATCTTAGCCCCACAACAACCCTGTGAGGTAGGTTGGGCTGAGAGCCTGTGACTGGCCCAAAGACGCCCAGTTGGCTCTACAGCCAAGTCGGGACTAGAACCCGGGTTGCCTGAGTCCCAGCCTGAGCTCTTAACCACTGCACCACACTGGATCTGCGAAGGGGGCAGCTGCTGCCTCTGGCCATTCCTGTCTGTTGTGGGGCCTAACCATGTGCTGCACTTCCCTGCACCTAGCTGGCTTCCATGCACCCCCTGAACTAGCTGGCTGCCCCCCTCGGGTGTGATGGAGATGCTGTCCCTTTGCCAGTGCTGAACTATGCCTCAGTCAGCTTCTCTCTCCATCGGTCAGTAAAAAGTCTTGAATGCACGTCTGAGGAAAAAGTGGCAGATCCTCTTCATGCAACGGAGGAAGTTTCCTTTCCATCTTGAAGTTGATGTGGCTGCAGGATTGGGCTGCTGCTTGGCTTTCAGGCACTGCTAAAGCCAGCTGTCAATCATCCCCATCTCTGGGCAAGTGTTGCAGCTAAGCTGATAATTAGAAGCTCTCCTATCCCCTGCTGTGTGCATTGCCGAAATAAACTGGCCAACCAACAGAAAGTGAATTAAATGCAAAGATGCGCTTCACATTGCAGTTGTGAAGCTTGGCCAGAAGGGTTGTGGCTGTAGGTGCAGATCTGAAAAGATCCAAAGTGCATCTGGTAGAACTGGCAAGGTTTTGTGTGAGCCTCTCCATTGACTGCTGTGATATCTTGAAGAAACTTCTTCTGGCAAGAAAATGAATCTTAAGACAGCAAAATAGCTGATTTGTTTTAATTTTTTGTAGGAAGACAGGTGTATCTCAGTTAAGCCAAAGACACTGATGATGGCTTTTCCTGTAATGCATTTATTCACTTTGATTTCTATGTATATTGATTTAAAATATTTCTAGGACACTTTTGAGGGCAGGAGCCCTTCCAAGTTGTATGCAGCAGTATAAGGATACTTGTCTAGGGATCGTATATAAAAGCTTTAAATAAATAAATGCTAAAATTCATAAAAGCCCTCCCACTGCTGGTGCAGTAATAAAGAGAACAATTGTTTCAAAAATAGCAGATGCCAGCATACATAAGCAAGAACCTGCAGCAAAGAGCAGTTACCACTCGATCAAGAAAACCTAAGCAGAGAAAGGTCAGGGGAATAAGTGAGTAAGGAAGCGAGTACCACAAGGGCTAAAGTGAGTAAGGAAGTGAGTACCGCAAGGGCTATGCCAGTCTTTCTCAACCTGGTGTCCTCCAGAGGTTGTGGATCTTAACTCCCATTGGCTCCAGCTAGCATGGGCACTAGGCAGGGCGCTGGGAGTTGTAGTCCAAAGCATTAGGTTGGAGATGGCTGTCCTGAGAACATGTTGCATTGTGCTAATCCGTGTCTGTAAAAAATAATAACCTTGAATGTCTCATTCTTTCTTTCCATAGTGATAACAGTACTAGCAATCATTAACAAGTGTGACTGTCGCTCTATTCAAGCATGCCCACCGTCATGGATTGGGTATAAGGAAAACTGCTACTATTTTTCGAAGGCAGAAAGAAACTGGACTTCAAGCCAGAAGTTTTGCTCTTCCCATAATGCTTCTTTGGCTAGGATTGAAGAGAAAGATCAGGTGAGAGACAGAAGGAATCCGCTCTTCATAGTCCTTTGCTGTGAACTGGTTGCCCAGTATTAGTCTTCTTTAGAGAAAGAGCAAGTATTTGCTGCAGGAGAGAGAATTTGGCTCAGGTTAAAAAAGAGCCGAAACTAGGGGGTCACAGCACACCACGAGTGGACCCCTTACCTTGGTTCTGCTCTCACTCACTCACCCAATCATTTGCTTCTCTTTCTTCCCTTTCTCCCTGCAGCCCCCTTTTGCCTCTGTTCCACCTCCAAATCCACAAAGATGTGGAACAGAAAGTGGATTTAACACTGAGCTGCTAATTATAAGCCTGCAGGTCTCCACAAACAGCATTATATTTCATGCTTACCACCACCCAGGCAATGGGGGCTTCCTAGCCTGTAATGCAGGCCTGTGGACAACCAACATGTTCAAGGGCAGGGTGTCAAAACCAAGTTCTTCTGGTTTGCAGGCCTTTTGAAGACAAAACTGAAAGCTGCTTTTTAATTATTTCTTCATTAAAACAATAGGGGCAGAGAAAATTTAGCTGGGGCAATGTCCCCTTGCCCACCTATGGCTATAGGCCTGTTCTGAGGTATGTAGAAGGACTGCACTTTCCTATTGCCTAGATAGTTCAGGGGTTTTTATTCCTTTGGGACCCATGGGCACATTTCAAAATTTGAGAAATGTGAGGGCACCACGGCAAAATGGTTCTGGGGAAGGTTAGGTGAGTCACTGAATGGCTGCCACAGGGGCCTGGCTAGTCTAAAGAGCAGGAAGGAGTTAAAAGCAAGACGCGGGGTGGTTAAAAAGGCAGAGGAGAAAACGAGCAAGCACAGTTAGGAGCAAGCGCAGTTAGAAATGGGCCATGGAGCGAAACAGCATGATAAAGGGGTGAACGGGAAAGAAAGCCCAGGCCAGGGGCTAGGATGAGTAATTAGAAAGCTAGGGTAGATGAGAGATTGGGTGGTGAGAAATAGCAAGGCTATGTAAAATTGCTGCAAACTGTATTTGCCTATATAGGCATATCATATGCATTCATTGCTATGGATACATAAAATCTATATTTAAAAGAGATTAATTCTTGTTTTTGTTGGTCTGCCCAGACCCTACTCTACCTTATTTTGGGGTACCAGAGCCTGGCTCTAGTTCACACATCTGTCATCAACTGATCCATGGTTTTCTACTTAATCAGGGGTAAGCAACCACGTGCTTGCCAGATGTCTTGAACTACAACTCCCATTAGCCCCAGGCATCATGGCCACTGGTCAGGGATTCTGGGAGTTGTAGTCCAAACCACCTGGAGGGCACCTTGCACATTTGAGCTACTCTGTCATTGCACACCTACGGCAGAAATGTGGGGAAAGAAGAGCTTGGATCTCATGGCTGCAGCAGTTCTGGGTAGAAAAGTGGTTGTCAGCAGCCCAACCTTCTTAGGCTGCCGCATGTGTTCACCAATGTAGCCTAGAATTAGTTCCTTACTGACCTTAGCTGGACCTGCACACCAAGCCAAAATAAGTCAAATTGGAATCCTTCTCCTCCCCCTCCGCTCCAAAAGCCCTGCAGTGTGGACTAACATTTTGGAAAGGACCTCCCTTTGGTCTGTTGTGCAAAAGGCCCTCTTTGCCCTCCCACCTCCAGCAGAACGGGGGAGGAGGGGCACCCTCTCCCACTGCTGCCCAGTTTGCCTCTCTGTGCATGGGAGACACGGGCAGCCCCACCCAGTGTTGGCATACAATGCTCCAGGTGCTCAGTCAGAGCCGTTTCTCCATGCCTGCTGCCAAACATTCCTGTGTGACCCAAAATGTCCTACTGGGACCCAAAGAGAACTGATCAGTTCAGGGGTGTTGAATCTCAGGCCAGTGGGCCAAATCCAGCTTGCCGGGGTCCCAGGCCAGCCCTCCAAGATGGTCGTGCTCGATGCCCCACCCACTTTGCATGGCATTTTCTTGCATTTCTATATTTCTTTCCCCACTCTACTAAGTTGCACTGCCTCTCCTGAGGCTTAGCTCATGGCAGGAAAATTCTTCAGTGAAACTGTGCTGGCTTTGTGTATTTTTGACCCTGTCTCCTTTCCCCCACCCCTGCTTGCCTTTGGTTCCACCCAGCACTGGGACACGGGCAGTGAAAGGCATCTCCCAAACTGAATGGAGCCCTAAGGTTCGTTGCTGGCAAGCCACTAATACAGCTCAGGGCTCTGATATCCATCTCTTCTGGTTTTGAAAGGATTTCGTGATGCTTAACAAAGGCAAAGGTTCCTGCTGGATTGGGCTCACGAGAGATTCGGGTCAGCCCTGGAAATGGTTGGATGGAGGCAATTCAACGTGAGTTCCAAGTTCCATTTGTCTTTAGAAATGAGGCCTCAGTAATAAGCAAGAAATGGTAATGGGGTGAGAGATGAGCCACTGGAGATGCGACTATTCACAATTTCTAGGTAGCCAGGTTTGCCCAAAAAATGATCAGGCATTTTCAAGAAAAAGAGAATTACTGCGTTCATTCTAGTGGTAACCCCACCTCAACATGCAGAAAAGAAGTGGGCATTCTAGGATGAAGGGCTAAAATAAAGAGTGTTCTGGATGATCTACCAATCCTTTATTTTGCCATACCCTCTAATCACTGGCCCATTAAACATTTCTGCTAAGATCTTCCAGTCGAATATTGTCAGTGTGTCTGACTTCCACTACTTTGGAAAAATGTATAACAAGCTTTCCCAAAAATTCAGGAGCTGAATCCCTTGATACCCCTATTTCCAGAGAAGATAATGCAAACCTCGGATTTCTCTAAAAAAAAATCTCTCCCAGTTTCCCGAATGGAGAGTGCCCAGTCTGGAGAATGACTGAGCTTCACCAAGTGACTTCCAAATGCTTTGAGCTGCAGCCTTCTTTTGTAGAAGAGAGGTGGGCAGATTCAAGCAGCAATTCTTCTCATTCACAGAACCTATTTTCCTTCTCAATAGTCACCTGTGGCTTGGAATATGATTATAGGCAGGGGGCCCACTGGTCCCAGTCAATGCCTTTGCCCATTTTTCCTACCTGTTTGCAGCCTTTGCAAATCAATTCTAACTGAAGAGAACTAAACTAAATCTAACTCTAGATTTAGTGTGATTGGGGTGTGGGATGCAACTTGATTAAAGAATGTATTTTATTTGGTGGGAAATCGATTTACTGGTTTTGCCTTCTGTGAAATTTAAATAAATCCTAGTCATTCTCTCTAGATGTATACATTTAGATATGCTGTAATATATGCAAGGGTTACGTAGTTTTTTTTCCCTCAGAATGAGCCAGGGACACCCATTTTGAAACTCCTGAATTTAGGGATCTGTTTGGGGATATGTTTGATTGAGTAAGACTTTCCCAATAGTATGTGCAATAGTACGTGCAGATAACTATCAGCTGCTACTGGGGAAAGCTTGACTCAAGCTTTGTGGTGCTTGTATTGCAGTTTGGAAGTTATGGGTGATGGAGGTGATTGTGCCTATTTCAATGATGAAACCAAAGCAAGCTCCGCAAGGTGCTACGTAGAACACTGTTGGATCTGCCGCAAATCAGCTGCATCTACTTGTCTGCCTGTTACTTGAGAAAGGATATTGCAAAGGAGAGAAACTACTGCATTTTTGCACTGTCTGTTTTCTGAAACATAAAGCTAATGGTCTCCTGTGGTGTTTTTCTGTGTACCAACACAGAGAACTGGGACTGACATGGAGCCTTGGAAGCTGGAAGCTGACTGTGGTGCAGCTGCAGAACTGAAAACACTGCACAGCAGCCTTTTCTTTCTTCTTCTTTCCCTGTCTTTTAATATTTATGCAATTTTAAATTAATTTTAATTCTGTTAATGTTTTTGTCTATTATAGTATTCTGTTTTAAGTTGTTTGGCTGTAAGCCACCCAAAGAGTTGGGCTATGAGCAGTGTAGAAATGAATATATAGATTCAATATATATAATGAATATATATAATGAATATTTTATTTATTTTCTATTTATATCCTGCCTTTTCCCTACAAAGGGCTCAAGGCAGCTTACATCTCCTCCATCTTATCCTCACAACAACAACCCTGTGAGGTAGGTTGGGCTGAGAGTCTGTGACTGGCCCAAAGTCACCCAGTTGGCTCCATGGCTGAGCGGGGACTCGAACCCAGATCGTTAGAGTCCCAGTCCCATGCTCTTAACCACTACACCACACTGAAGTCCCGCAATTAAGGCTCAAATGATCAGTTTCTTGCAAGGGCAAATAGGTTTACTTACAATTAAATGCATGGATCTGTGGGTGCCCGAGACAGGAACACCCAATGCTAATTCCATTAGGGTACATAGAATACACAAAAGGGGAGTGAATACAATACACAGGAACGTGATTGGATAGGAAAGTGATTGGATACAGGTCACAGCATCATAAAATGACTTGATTGTGGATGAGGGGGCCGACCTGGCTTGCATAACGGAGACCTGGGCAGGAGAGGGAGGGGATGTTGCCCTCTCCCAACTGTGTCCGCCCGGGTATCTGGTTCAACACTGTTCACGCCCAGAAGGGAGGGGAGGGGGAGTCGCGTTGGTTTACCGAGCCTCCATCTCTCTCATGGGTCTTCCGGTCCCTTCAAGACCAGGGCTGGAGTGCCTCTACTTGGTGTTGGGCGAACGAGACAGACTGGGGATTCTATTGGTGTACCGTGCACCTTTCTGCCCAGCAGTCTCCCTATCTGAGCTGACAGAGACCGTCTTGGACCTGGTGTTGAGGACCCCCAGGATGTTGGTCCTGGGGGACTTCAATCTCCATGCCGAGTCTGGACTGACCGGGGCGGCTCAGGACTTCATGGCCTCTATGATGGCCATGGGCCTGTCTCAACACGTCATCGGCCCGACCCATGAACGTGGACACACTCTGGACCTGGTTTTCTCGACGGGGCAGGAAGAGGATGACCTGAGGGTGAGGAATTTATGTTTGACTCCCCTGTCATGGTCAGATCACCTCCTGGTGAGGTTTGTGCTCAAGAGCGGCCTCTCCGTCTATAAGAGTGCAGACCCGATTGTATGGGCCCACCCCCGGAGCTGGATGGATCCGGATGGATTCCTGAAGGCCCTGGGGGAGTTTCTGGCTGACAAGACTGGTGCTCCTGTCGAGGCTCTGGTCGAACTGTGGAACGGAGAGATGACCAGGGCTGTGGACACGATCGCTCCTAAGCGTCCTCTCTCACCAGGCAGAGTCCGCTCTTCCCCTTGGTATACACCTGAATTGCGGGCGATGAAGTGGGTTGGGAGACAACTAGAGCATAGGTGGAGGAAATCACGGGATGAATCTGACCGAACACACTTGAGAGCCCACTATCGGGGCTATGCTGTGGCGGTGAGGGCGGCAAAAAAGAAGTTTTTTTCCGCTTCCATTGCCTCCTCACAATGCCGCCCGGTGGAGCTTTTTCGAGTGGTACAAGGCCTGGTTTGCCTGGGTCCTAAGGAAGATCCGATGCCACCCTCAAAGGCCTGTTGTGATGACTTTGCCAGGCATTTCAGGGAGAAAATCGCTCAGATTCGTCACGAGCTGGACTCCACTAACGAATCAGAGGTTTCTGGGGAGACGCCAATGCTACCGTCTGGTCCAAAATTATTGGAGGAATTTCAATTATTGCGGCCCGATGATGTGGACAAGGTGCTTGGACGAGTACGTCCCACCACTTGCCTATTGGATCCTTGCCCGTCTTGGTGAATAAATAACTCCAAGCAGGGGATTGGGACCTGGATCTTGGAAGTGGTTAACGCTTCTCTGAGGGAGGGTCGAGTGCCTGCCCCTTTAAAGGAGGCGGTAATACGACTAGTCCTGAAGAAAGCGTCACTGGATCCAGAGATGGCCACTAACTATAGACCTGTGGCCAACATCCCGTTTCTGGGCAAGGTGTTGGAGCGAGTGGTGGCGGGACAACTCCAAGCACTCTTGGATGAAACTGATTATCTGGATCCTTTTCAGTCCGGCTTCAGACCTGGGTACGGTACTGAATCTGCCTTGGTCACCCTGTACGATGACCTGTGCAGGGAGAAGGACAGGGGGAGTGCATCCCTGTTGGTTCTTCTGGACCTCTCGGCGGCTTTCGATACCATCGACCATGGTATCCTTCTGGATAGGCTAGCGGGATTGGGGGTCGGAGGCACTGCTTTGCAGTGGTTCTGCTCCTATCTCAACGGTCGATTCCAGAAGGTAGTGCTGGGGGACTATGTCTCTGCGCCATGGCAGCTATGCCATGGAGTACCACAGGGCTCCATTCTATCCCCTTTGCTATTTAACATCTATATGAAACCGCTGGGAGAAGTCATCAGGAGGTATGGGCTGTGGAATCATCAATACGCTGATGATACCCAGCTCTACCTCTCGTTTTCCACTAATCCAGGTGAGGCAGTGGCTGTGCTGAACCGGTGCTTGGCCGAGGTAATGGAATGGATGAGGGCCAATAAACTGAAACTCAATCCAGACAAGATGGAGGTCCTGTTGGTTGGCAGATTGGGCTTCGGAGAGGGTGGATTTGACCTGGTCCTGAATGGTGCAACACTCCCTCTTAGGGACAAGGTCCGCAGCTTAGGAGTACTCCTCGACCCGGAGCTTTCTTTGGAAGCTCAGGTGACAGCGGTGGTGAGGAGCGCCTTCCTTCAGCTTCGGCTGATTAATCAGCTGCGCCCCTACCTGGAGTACGACTGCCTGGCGACGGTGACACACGTGCTGGTGACTTCCCGCCTAGACTTCTGTAACGCGCTTTACGTGGGGCTTCCCCTAAAGACGGTCCGAAGACTTCAATTGGTGCAAAATAGAGCTGCCAGGTTGCTGACGGGGACGGGGCGTTATGCTCACATGACTCCAGTCCTCCGTCAGCTTCACTGGCTTCCCATTGAAGCCCGGGCCCAATTCAAGGTGTTGGTTATGACCTATAAAGTCCTAAACGGCTTGGGTCCTGGCTACCTGAACGAGCGCTTACGTCCGTATATGCCCAACCGCCCCTTGAGATCTGAGGGAGAGTCCCTTCTCTGGGAACCCTCCATGAAAGAAATTAGGAGAGTAAGTACTCGGAGGAGGGCTTTCTCTGCGGTGGCGCCCAACCTATGGAATTCACTCCCCAAAGAGGTCCTCCTGGCACCGTCATTACTGGTTTTTCGGCGCCAGGTAAAGACCTTTTTATTTAAACATCATTTCAATTGTTAAAATATATGATCTGGCCAGGGCAACTTCTTCTTCCTTCTCTTTTCTCCTCCTATATTCTTTATTTACTTATTTTACACTGTTAATTTTAATTTTATATTATTATGTTTGTATCTCAGTGTATTTTTTGTATTTTTGTATTTAATGGTAATTTATTATGTTCTATTGTATTTCAATGTATCTTATTGTGTTGTAAGCCGCCCCGAGGCTTCAGCAAGGGGCGGCATAGAAATGATATAATAATAATAATAATAATAATAATAATAATAATAATAATAATAATAATAATAATAGAAAGAGTTATATCTCACTCTAATTAGATGCCTTTGACAGACCTTCTAAACTAAAGTTACCTTGAACAGGCTGGCCAAGTTAAGTAAACAAACAAAAAAAGGTTACATGTGTGAACTTACTGGGTTAGGGAGGCACTTTAGCAAGTCTGGAAAATATCGAGATTACACTTTGACAGTTACCCGTTAATGAGGTGGGTTCTTTGATCGTTACAACCAGACACTGAGGTTTCTTCTAAGACGGTGTATTGATGTATTTACGGCCGGGCAGAGGGGCAGGATGGCAAAACCTGTTTTTCTGAGTACATACATACATATATATTTGTTCATTCATTTGTTCGATTTATTATATAACAATAATAGAATGTCTCCCCCTGTCTAGTGCCTTATACCAAAGGAAACCCACTTGGATAATGTGCTGTGGTGTTTATTCTGTCAAACGCATCTTGTATTACCAGTAAGGGTTGACTAAAAGAATAGTCTTAGTTTGTTCTTGCTCAGAATTTACCCAGTTTGCACTTTCTAAGTCTAAAGCAGCACTTTTGACTCAGACACAATCTATGATTGAAGTCTGTCCTGGATAACCTTGAAATTTTGCAGTTTACTTTTAAGTACAATTCAAAGTGCTGCTCTAAGCTTTTAAAATCTGAGCTACTTGGACACATTACTCCAGGCCTCTCCCAGCTGCACTGGCTGCAGCTTGAAATGTGGGCCCATTCAAAATGCTAGTCCTAACATTAAAAGACCTAAACAGCTTGGGGCCAGGTTATCTGAAGGATCACCTCCTCCCATACATGCACAACAAGTACAAGTGCTGCTGCAGATTTGCAAGACTGCAAAATTAGAGGAGATAATGTGATAATTGAGAACAATACCTCATTTCCCTCAATCTAGAAATGTTTGTGAAGCACGGGAGAGGCCCTGTAGGATCACTGTTGGGTAAAACACAAGAAAACATAAGTTCACAGTCATAAGCACTGTAGAACACCCTCCCCAGGGAGGCTCACCTTACTTTATTTTTTTCAGCATTGGGCAAAGACCTTTTTATTTTCCCAATATTTAACAGTTAATTGATTTTATCCTTGTTTTTATCATAATTTATTGGATGCAATGTGTTGTGCGTTTGTTGTTGTATACGGTTGCTTTGGGGTTGTTGTTTTTTTGTTAGTTTTTTGTAAGCCATCCAGAGACTTTTAGTACTTAGTACTGGGGCGGCATATAAAAACTTTAAATAAATAAATAAAAATAAATAGGTGCCTCTTGTAATGATGTTCCAAGTCAGAATTTCAATTATCAGCCAGAGAGAAGGCTGGAGGCAGGAAGAAAATCTCACCAACAGGAGACTCTTCTGCCTTGAAGCCTCTTTTGTAACATCTCTTTTGTCACTGTTAATGTTGCTCACTAGCACCTGCCAGGAATCCCATCCCAGACATATGCATGCATTTAGGTCTCCACTTTTCGACTGAATTTATATGCTGTTTAATAGACCCTTAACTGACTGTTCTCAGGGATTAGGTGGGAAACTTCCTTAACAACACTGTGATAAAAGGAAACTCCAGTGATAGGAACAATGTTGAAAATAAGAAAGGCAATTGTAATGAGTTTATACTGGGATAGTCAACCTGGTATCCTCCAAATCCTATAGCTCCCATAATCCCTACTGATTGGCTATGCTGGCTGGGGTCGATGGCCCACTTCCCCTTGAAGGTTCCCTCCCACTGCTTTCTATAAATGTGTGTATACTGCACACATTCTGTCCATGTCTTCTTGATTGCCACCACCAGAACTGATCACTCAGGGTTAAAGCAACCTGCTCCCCAGGTTAAGAAAACTATGAAGGAGGTTTATGAAAATATACCATGCGAATAGGCAGCAGGGCCAGCCCAGCCACAAGGCAGGATGAGGCAGTGGCTGCAGGCTGGAGGAGACTGTGTGGGCCATTTGGCTGGCCCTGCACCTGCTAAGCTAACCTGCTGCCCTCAGGTGTAGTGAAAGATGCTCTCCCGTTGCCATTACTGATGCAATTCAGCTGCCAGTCCATTTAGCCTTTGTACGTGGAATGGGAGAGGGCGCTATCTTGCCACTTGCCTCAGTCAATAAAATGTCCTGACCTGGCCCTGGGAAGGGAATGTTTCGATTTCTCTCATGATGCTCGAAGGGTGATTGGTAGCTGCGTGGGACCATTGAAAGGAACAATGCATGGCAAAATGGATCTTGTTCCACCACAGTCGGGGCCAGCCCAAGACATGCTGCTGCCTGAAGTTCAGCAGCAAAGATGAGCCCAGCTGCTGCCCTCCAGTCAAGGCACGTGGTTCCCTTCCAGCAGCTGAATTATTTCCACCCTTGAGACAGAAAAGCCCACAGCTACTTCTTCGCCTCCTTGGCTGGAAAAAAAAAAAAAAATAACACCAATACCTGAAGTAATTAATAAGAACTCAAGAAGAGCCATGCAGGTTTGTCCTACCCAGCATCCCATGCTCACGGTGGCCCACCAACTGCCCACACATAGAACATGGGTGCAATTGCACCCTGCCGCTGCCTGTGAATTTGGAGGTAATATGCAGTCAAAGAGTCCAGGAGCTCTAAAGGGAGCACAACCCATAACAATTAAACCATTGGATTCGAATAGATGTACAAAATCCTTGTGTTTATTTTATTACAGAGAATATATTTTTGCGTGGAATTAAATCCACAGATACAGTACCTGAAGACTAGAGGACAACTAATTTACTTAAAACTCCAACAACCAAGAACTTTCAGTCCTTCCCCCCAAAAAACACCAACTACCTAAAAGCCAAAGTCTTCCTAAAATAATTCTTCTCAAATATTTTTTCATCCTCGCCAAGTATGTGAAGCTTAACTATCAACAAAGATTTGCTGGCTGCTGTTTGACACAGGTTAAAAGTTCTGTACTTTGGAGTATATCATTATTTGGAGTAGCAGAAACTTAGAACAAACGGCATCAACTTTGTGCCGTACTTATGGGAGGCCCCCTGGAGGCATCTGACCCATCCTGTATGAAGAAGGCCCCAGAATGTTCAGACAGGGTGAGGAAACTTCCATGTAGCCTCAAGTTCCTCCTCCTGCCTAATTGTGGAAGCTAAGCAGGGTCAGGACTGGTCAGAATTGGGATGGGTGACTTGAGTGTATGATTCCATGATTGTTGCTATAAATGGCCCAGAGAGCTTTGGCTATGGGCTGTACAAAATGTAATAATAGTAATAATAATAATAATAATAAAAAGCCACTGAAACACCCTTGCCTGAAACCTTGAAGATCTGCCACTGGCCACTGTCAGCAATCCTGGGCTAGATGGACCAGTGACCTTATACTCTAAGGCAGCTCACAAGGAGCCTTACAATCTAGAAAAGCCCTAAGAGGAAATGGAGGAAGACATGAGGGGATTGGTAGCAGTGCCTTTCCATAATCTTCATTGCTCTCAGTTACAAAAGAAGAGCGTCTTTTTCACAAATCCATTTGGTTACAGCAGTGCAAGCTTCTAATATCACCTTGTTCAACTTCAGCATCCCACAGCTGTTTGCCTGAGCAGGGCCTGTTACTTCCAACCTGCAGAGACAAAAAAGAAGAGAAAACTCAAAGTGTCAAAGCCTCTTCCTCACCTTGAAGGGAAGTTGCCTCTTCAACATACGTTGACTGTTTTGAGCTTTCAAGCCTTGGCTGCTATTTTCCTCCATGTCCACTGTGGTAAGTGGGGTTTACTTTGTAACATGCGTGGTTTACAGACACTCATTGCGCTGCATGTTGATGCTCTGGCTCCTCACTAGCCATACCTGCAGTGACTTATTATCAATTGGTTACCCTCTTGCTGCAGAACTGGAATTCTGACAAACTCTCGGAAGTGGAAAACAAAAACTGAAAAAGTGTGGGTGAGCACATGTGCATGAGAGAGAGAGAGAGAGAGAGAGAGAGAGAGAGAGAGAGAGAGAGAGAGAGAGAGAGAGAGAATAAACAGAACAAGTGTTGAACCCTCAACAAAAGCAGTCCACAGCACAACATTGATTGATTGATCATATTGTAAGCACCTGAAAAATAAAAAAGGCGTTGCATAGGAGAAAACAGCTCAAGGGGAAGCAAGTGCAGAGGACTGCGTAGCTCTGCTACTTTCTCTCTCCAGGCCTACAGAGTTTGCAAGAGACCCTCCCACTCTGCTCTTATATGCTGGGGGAGTGGCAGGAAAGGAGCTCGCAGAGTCATGGCAGAGTGAAAGGATGATGCCATGGTGGAGCTGATGAGAGCCACAGGTTAGAGATTTCTGCAGTGGGGACACTGAAGGGGACTTTTCCTGTCCTTAAATGTCCCCCTATAGGGGATGCCAGTGACGTGAGAGTCATTTTTGCATCACCTCTGACCGGTCCGGTCCTGAGTTCACCCAATAAGCTAACCACCAGGCCAAAAGAGGTGTGACTGGCCTTACTTAGGCAGCACCCCTCCTTGGTGCCAGGTGACTGCACAGCTTTCTACAAACACTCAGCCCTTTACACATCCTGAAGTTCTTCCTCTGAACAATTGCCACACTGATATTCCAAGCATTGCTCAGAAGTCCCCTCCAGTTTGCTTGCTTGGCGCTGGCCTCCATGGTTCAGGACTGAGATGAAAAGGAAAGGACTGGAGGAAGGCTCAAGTCCACCTTCTGCCAACATGAAAGGCTTGAACTATAGCATTCAAAACTGTTCTGAAAAACCCAGCTGAGTATAGCGGAAGAACTGAAGAATCAGTGGTCCTCTAACTGACGTTGGACTACAGCTCTCATCATCCCTGACCATTGGCCATGCTGATGGGAACTAGAGTCCAACAACATCTGGAGGGCTGCAAGTTCCCTGTCCCTGTCATAGAATGGATAATCAACTTGAAGTTTAGGTAGTTGTACATCCAAAGTGAAGATAAGAGTAAGGATTAGATGTGGAATCTGGAAGGTGGACTCTTCCAACACAGCAAATTTACCTGCCAAAACTCACATTAATGGTAGGAGAAAAATACTCACAGTGTTGTATTTAACGGGGAGCCATCTATCCAGGACCATTCCTGTGCACCTGATATGGTTGTCAGGCCAATCCACAGAAGATGCGCTCCATCAGTGATGCGTCGAATGAAGTCCTGTTGTAGACATGTTAATAAATCTAGAGATTCTAGAATATGCATTCATATGTTACAACAGTTTAGTGATAAATGTTGAAGAGCAGGAGCTTATCATAACTTGGGATGTGTGGCCCACCAGATGTTTTGACCTCTCACTTCCATCAAGCCTAGCAGGCACAGCCAATGATGAAGGACTGGCCAAAATACCTGGAGTCCCAAAAGCTGCCCAAAGCAAAGGGCGGAAATACATAACATAATACAGTGGTACTTCTGCTCATGAATGCCTCAGTTCATGACCAAATTGGATCGCAAACAAAAATTTCATAAAAATGTTAACTCAGATGGTGAACTCCACATTGGGTGGTGACTGCAATCGTGGCCATCTCCCCACTCCCCCCCACTCCCCCCACCAAGTGGGGAGATGGCCACGATCGTGCTGGGGGTGGGGGAAGATGGCCAGATCACTTCCATCTTTCCTGCAGGAGCATGCCTGTGATTGCACCTGTCTTTCCTGCACGAATGCAACTGTGATCTCAGCCATCTCCCACCCCGCAACACGATTGCACCTGTCTCCCCCCCTAGAGTGCACCCGCATTCATGCCCATCTCTCCCCCCCGCAGCGCACCTGCAATCGTGCCCATCTCCTCCCCCGCCCCCAGCACGTCAGGATGACGGGCACGTGCAGGGATGACGGGCACAATCGCGGTCATGCTGGAGGGGGGTGGCCGTGCTCATGCTCAGGGTGTGGGGGGGAGATGGCCGTGATCTTTGTTGTTCTTTGTCACTTTGCTTCACGTTTTTCTGATTAAAGAATAGTTACAGAACGGATGAACCTTATTTACCCTTATGGGGAAATTTACCCTTATGGGGAACCCCCCATGACCCTTATGGGGAAATTTAACTTGGCTCATGACCAATTTGGATCATGACCAGAGTCCTGGAACGGATTAAGTTCGTGAGCCAAGGTACCACTGTGGCTGTTTAATGGGCCAGCACAACTGCAGCCCTGTGCGTAGATGCCTAGGAGAAAGCTCCACAGAACTCAGTAGGACTTGCTTCTGACTGCAAGGCTCAACTTGTACAGTGCACAGAGCTTAAGCACATCTCCAGCCAGCTGAAATGCAATCTTTAGCTTGAATGAGAAATTCAAGCCCCTTTGCAAAGAACTTAGCATGTAAAACAGCCTTCCCCAACCTGGTGGCTCCCAAGGGCATTCGTACTGCAACTCCCAGAATTCCCATCCAGCAGGGCCATTGACTGGGAATTCTGGGTGTTGCAGACCAAACTTGCCTGGAAGGCCTAAGGTTGGGGAAGGTGGATTTTAAAGGCTAATGTGAAATGGGAACCACCCCAAAGAAAAGATGCACACAGCCTCTGTTTGGTGGCTTTCCTCTGCCTTCATGGATGTTCATCTGCCACAATCAACAGAACTGGAAGTTCTCATTATCCGAAGGGTCTGAAGCTACATTCCTTCTCCATCACACCATGGTGTATTCAAGGCAATTGGTCTTTAGGTTAGACAGACCACAATTTAAGGCAATAAGCTACGCATGCTGTTGGAAAATAAAGATCCAAGTAAAGCTTATTGAGGAAAATACACGGGTGTGTGTGTGTGTGGTTTGCATAAGATTCAGTATGGTCTCAGTATCCAGAAGCAACCTTTCCCCAATTTCAGAACAAGAGAGATCTGGCGCAGGTTAATATCAGGGAACTCTGGGGTTCTAATCAGAAGCAGCCTTCTGATACAGAGTAACTCATCTCTACAAAGTATTCTCAATGTGTTTAGGATCTCACAGATGATGCAAGATGTATCCAGCTAAGCAGCTACCCAGTCAGAGTGCAGGAATTTGCTACAAAGCAGCGAGCCTGAAATGTGGCAGCCGGGCAGAGTTTCTGAATGATTTCACAACCGCTCACATAAGGAAGTTGAAACAGAGAAGAAGATAGCACCCTTCCATAAAGTTTCCAGAATTTACTGTTTTGTCATGTCAATACCCTGCCATTACTCATATTTTCCAATCTATTATTCCACGAACGGCTAGCTGATCTTCAGTATTGTTCCATGTATGAAATCTTCAAGCTGTCATTGTGACACAATGTCATTTTTCTATCCTCAGCTACTCTGTACCCGTTATGTGACTAGAAGTTTATAAAACGCATGTTCTAGAAGCTTGTAGTTGGTTTCATCCTCTACATGGCAGCACTGTTCATGAGGTTTGTCTCCTCAGAGGGTACCTGAGGGCTCAATCTAATAAACGGCTGAGGTTTTAACAAAATCTGTCTCCCTGTTAACCTGAATGTACATTTTCATGGCTGGTGACTCAAGACGTCCTGACAATGGCTAACTGGAGCATGCTGGAAATTGTAGGCTTTTTTCCTATCTAAACATGCATAACATTGCAGCCTTAATCTCAGTGTTTAATCACACACAGTCACAATAGGTGCAATCCTGCATCCTCGGAGACTGGCTTCTCATAAGAAGGCCGCTCCTCTGCTCTTGGTGTGCCTCTGGAAATCACATGCTGCATCTTGGCTGTCCCCATCTTGGCAGAGTGACTCAGGACTGAAGAAGGGGAAGCATTTGGGGCAGCAGACAGGAAATCGGACAGAAGAACGTGTGGTGTTGTATGGGTGGGACTCTGGGGCAGATGTCCAAGGTGCTTCTCAGCAGAAGGGCCCACAGAGCATGAAGACTCACTTCCAACAGTCTGAAGTGAGTGAAGTCATGGACATCCCTGTCTGAAGACGGGCTTCCCGGTAGGAGAATTAAGTCTGGACTAAAATTCCGTTCCTACACAGCCATGAGGGCCAGTCCTTCACTGCCGCATGGCACTTGCATACCGGTGTGGGGGTAAGCATTTCTCGCCCTGAGGTGAGGTGTGTGGGTGCATCTGCTTAGAGGCTGCCAAGGTGTTGGTTGGCTCAGTGTCCTACTTTACACAGCACTGTCCTGTTTCCGAAGAGATGCCCCCTGTTTGAAAGGGTGTGTGGCTGCAGCCTGGGATAAAGCCAAGGGACCCTAAAGAGGGAGAGCGCAGCAGGGGCCTTGAAGCTGCCCATCAACCATTTGCTCCCTTTCTTGGCACTGCATAACTGGTTGCCTTCCTGTGTGGCATTCCTACGGCACTTCAGGATTTGGAGTTTATACTTTCTGAGTTTATACTTTCTTCATATGTGAAGCCACTTCTCTACCCTCCTCACTTATGTAGGTTTCAGGATTGCACCCCTTGAGTCCATGTATTTAAAAATAAAATACTTCCGAATTTGAGATGGTACCTGGAGTGTGTGATCACCTGTGTTTTAATGTGCATGTACCTTGTGCACACACTCCAAAACAGTAAAAACTGCAGTGTTGTGGAAACTCAGAGTATAATTCAAGTCTGAGTATAATCTGAGTAATTTATACTGGTCATGGGATTCAGATTTTCTTAGCACCCAACTAGGACTGCTTAGATAATGGATTATTTTCGTGGTGCAGAAAACAACACCCCTCCCAACAAGACACATCTATGGCATGAAGCTATTCATCAGTATTTACCAGTTCTTCCTTGTTGTGGAACACTGCAAGTTGTGAATTTTTGGCTGCACAGATGTTTTGACTCTTGTTCCATGTTTGTTTTTCATCAGAAGTCCAATAGCATTTGTTCTCATAAAGCATCCAGTTTTTTGGGCAGAGTTTGCACTTTAAATTATCTGTTTGTGGAGGGAGGGGGAGATGAAGACTGACATTTGCACACTTCATTCAAAATATTGTAGGTTTTTCTATTGATCTCCAACTTGTTATAAGCCAATTCATGAAATTAGACATGATGGCAACTTTCTTAAGCACAAGTATCTTTTTCTTCCTTCCTTCCTTTCTTTCTATAACAACAACAACAACAACAATAGCAACAGCAGCAGCCATAAAAATGTTGGTTGCAACCCTTTATATCTGGGATTGTGGCTCCTGAGATGTTTTGGAGTAAAAAATCTCTCATCCATCATCTTTTGCTATGTTTGCTAGGACTGAAGGGAGCTGTGGGCAAAAACAACCCCTCAATTCAGATTCAGGGTCTGAGATATCCCTCTTGAAATACTGCATTTTATGCAGAGCAGGCCCAGTCCCTACTGTCCAATTTAAATCAAGTCCTACAAGTTTCCATAGCTTCATTTCTGCATGCAAACAACCTCAACACATGCCAGGTTCAGAAACAAAAGAGCAGACAGTGCATGGGCCTGAATGCAAGCCCAATCAGTACTTGCTAAAGTCCTACTGACTTCAGTGGGAAAGTTAAGTGCATCTATTTCTTTCCCTTTTGCTCTCTTGTGCCGGAATCAATGGAACTTGATTGTGCTCACCAGTAAAATGTAACCTTAAAGTTTAAGCTGAAACATAAACATCTTAACTTGAACTGGGTTGTACCAGTGCTGCTGTTCTAAAAATGGTCAGCGAAAGCACTGAAGTTACCTGCTGAATGATTTTGGTGATGTGAATTGCAGAGAAACTTGCGCAAAGTCTGGCAGTTGTCTGGGCAGGAGTTCGGTTGCATTTCATTGCTGGGTCCTTGAAAGGAACTGGTCTTCCCCAGAGCATCTGTTGCTTCCTTCCTCTGCAAAACTTTGAATGAGACCTCAGTTTAAGTAATAAAGATTATGTGTTCAAGGGTTTTTTGTTTAATCCATCTCCAGTGGAATTATAGAAAATGTTATCTCATACTAACCCTGTCCCCTGGAATTGCTATCTTTTGTTCACATCTTCTTACGGTGAAGGCAGACTGATCTGATGCCTCTTTCCAGTGTTTTCTGTCTTGTTCTATCATGTTTTTTTAAACTAATTGTACTGTGTTGACCTGACCTGATTTGTATACTCTCTCTTTGTATATGCACATGAATGCAACAATGCAACTGGATTGTACTACATTAGCAGGCAGTTTACTGCAACTGTCCTTGATCACCTTTTCCAGTGGAGCTTTGATGGGTGTTGTGCAGTTGCAGTATCTCACAATGGCATTCTGGGTGTACTGGAAGCCCTGAAGGCAATTGCAGTAGTGGCTGTCCACTACTGCAGTTCTTTGAAAGGAAGCTTCTACTGCCACAGTCACTATCCTTGTTTTACCTCAAGTGTGTTTGTCTACCTATTCCTGCACCCGAGGGGAATACATAGAAGGGACTAGTGCCCCCCACAAAATATAGGGGGAACCAGAAGGGCCCATGCCAAGCGTCTACTGATATCTGGAACTGGCCCTATTGACAGGCAAAATGTTATTGAAATGTTTCAGGGCTACTGTGCCTTTAATTAAAAGTTTCCTCCTCAAGTTTCCTTCTGCTTCCTGTTCAATGTGTGTGTGTGGTGGGGTTTCTTGGTGTTAACTGTCCCTGCATTAGGCAGCTGCTGTTTATGGCAGCAGAAATGGAGCTTTCATTTTTTTTTCATTTAATATTTATAGTCTACAGTTCTTTCTCAAAGGAAGCAATATAGTCAGCAGGGAAAAACCCAATACAACAGTATTTGTCTTGAAACAGATAATTCATTTAATCATTTTATTTATTTATTTAGGATATTTGTATGCTGTCCTTTGCAAGAGCCTCAGGACGGCTTACACAAATAAAATACAAATATCTAACATAACATAAATTAATTAATGACCCACTCTGGCTGCAAATAAAATATGATGATAAAATTCAATATTAAAACTTATTAAAATATTGATTAAATAAAAAGGTCTTAACCTGGCGCCGAAAAACATATAATGACGGCACCAGGTGGACCTCTCTGGGGAGCGCATTCCATAGACAGGGCACCACCGCAGAGAAGACCCTCCTCCAGGTACTTTGCCTCCTAATATCTTTCACAGACAGTTCCCAGAGGAGGGCTTCTGCTGCCGATCTCAGGGGGTGGGAGGGCAAATAGGGAAGAAGGCGTTCCTTTAGGTATCCTGGTCCCAAGCAGTTTAGGGCTTTATAGGTAATAACCAGCACCTTGAATTGAGCCTGGACTTCGATGGGAAGCCAATGGAGCTGATAGAGGACTGGGGTTATATGAGAATAACGCCCAGTCTCCGACAGCATCCTGGCAGCTCTGTTTTGCACCATCTGAAGTATCCAGACTGTCTTCAAGGGCAGCCCCACGTAAAGTGCATTACAGAAATCCAACCAGGAAGTAACCAATGCATGTGTTACTGTTGCTAGGCAATCTTCCTCCAGGTAAGGATGCAGCTGATGGATTAGCCGAAGCTGAAGGAAAGCACTCCTCGCCACCGCTGTCACTTGAGCTTCCAAGGACAGCTCCAGGTTGAGGAGCACTCCCAAGCTGTGGACCCTGTCCTTTAGAGGGAGTGCAACCCCGTCCAGGGCAAGGCCCAAGTCATCTACCCAGGAGCTCGAATCACCTGATTAGTATTTGGTAATCATCACACCAAATACCTATTAAAATAATATCATGATATAATGTACCTATAAAATTCATGCTTAATTACGTAGCATGACCTGTTCTCCCCTGCAGAGGAGGGCAGAATGCGCTCCAACAGAGCAAAGCTCAGGGAACCAGGGTTCCATTTGGATGCCAGGAAGCCCTTCTGACAGTCAGGACCCCGAGGGTGTGGAATGGGCTTCCACGGGCGGTGGTTGAGGCCCCATCGGTGCGGGTGTTCAATGATAGGCTAGACATGCACATGGTGGGCATGTCATGAGCAGAACCAACTGGAGCCGGGGGTCAGACTAGAAGGCCCGGGAAGCCCCTTCTGACTCACTCATTCTATGAATTATTGTGCACATGGGCAACAGGGACTGACTGATTAAGAGACAATTTATAACTAATTCCCCAATCATGCTGCACAGGAAGCAACGATAGGGGCAGAAGCTGCAGTGAGACAGTCTTTCTTCAGTGGGACTGACTTCTGAAAGAGCATGATAAAAGAATCCCGACCAGAGGAAAGGGCATTGCTGGAAAATATTGTACTATATTAAATGTTGTGTACAGATTTAATTCTGCTTCCAATTCTGGAAAACAATACCCTAGTCACAAAGTGTTGCAGCCATTTTTCATTATCACTGACAATTTGTGAAATTGCTCCCCCCCTTCAGCTTTTTGCATCTACTTTTTTAATGCAATGGCTTGCGTTCTTATATGTGAAGATACGGTTATTGGTTGCTTGGAATTTTCATAGCTTGCAGAGCAGCAAACATGCCAGGTTTTTTTTTAAATCTAATGTCAACAATTATGAAAAATCTAAATTTTGTTTCGAGGGGGTCATCACTCACTCTACTATTTAGCATATCAAACAAGAACTTTGAGTATGAGAGAAAATCATGGCTAATTATAAACAGCTTGTTTATTTGTTTTTTAAATAAATGTTGGTTCAAGACAAACCCTTCCCTGAAGATTTCATAACCAAGCATAACCAGTCTTGAAGCAATAGACTCTTATACCAGTGCAGCTGTTTTTGGATCTATGAGCTAATCTCTTGTGGAGTAATACAAATTCAACCTAGGTCAGGTTTTTAAAAAAATAATTCAAAACCATCTTGACCATATAAAGGAACTATTTCCCCTTCTCAGCATATCCACCCATTCTTTCTTCAGCTTCCCTCATTAGAGAAATGGGCAGCCTCCCATCTGAACTTGTGATTTCACAACTTTAGTACAGGCAGGCATCATAGGGCAAAAGGTCTATTCTCCCGTACCGTTCTAACTTCCGATCCAGCGCCAAAATAACTAACTGGCTGTACCTATGAAGGCAGCCAGGATTCCTCCTACAGTGAGATGCAGGGGAGGGACTTGCCCTCATTATTCCACAAACAAAATCCTGGGCACATGCCAAAAATAATTTATCTGGTACACCATCGGAATTCACCCATTCTGGGGACATTTGCACACAACAGACTTAAAACTTTTTTCCCCCAACAAAAACAGCGATTCCCTCTCTGCTGGGGAATCCTGGGAACTGTAGTTCTGTAATGGGGGGCAGCCAACTAGGGATGAGTCACAAAGAAGATGCCACAGCGCCATCTCACCAAACTACAATCCTTTGGGAGGGACCCAGGCTATTTGACAATGTTGGAAAGTCAAGGCACATCTGTTGGCCTGACTTGGGGTCAGAGGCTGAAGGCCCCTTAAGGAGGGAGGGGGTGGGTTTCTTGGTAAACTAGAGATCAACCCTAGCTAGATGAGTTATGGCTGAACTAATTGTAGCATAGATAAGTTTGAGCTGGTTTAAGCACAGAAGGTGATCAACAGGGCATGACTGCACTAGAGTCTGATGGCACGGGAGGAAAACTACAGGAATTAAAACATCAATTTATGATCAAGATAAGAAGAATTATGGCAGGATGAAAGGAATACAATAGGGGCCTTTTAGGAAACTGTGCTTGAAGGAAGGTATAAAAAAACCTGTGAAATGTTTATTCAGGGAGAATGATTTGGGATTTACTCCATGCTCCGCTTTCTTTCTATTCATAAAGCTGAATAAAAACCATGTTTCATCTCATTCCATCTCTAGACCCTTCAATGGGCTATTGAGTTCTGAGTCCTCAGTCCCTGGAAGCAAATCGGGCAGCACATTGGTAGGAGATACAGGGGCTATGTCTTGGCCTGCATCCACACTGCTACTGTTGCCCGGGAATGCTTTCAGATGGAGGATTCCTGGTGCTCCCAGTCAAAAGGCACAGGGTGGCCATTTTGCCATTCCCTCCCTAACAGATTTTCTGTGGTAAGAAAAGGCACAAGGGGCTTACAAATAGAATCCAGTCTTATTCAGCATTTGCAGCAGGGCAGCAACACATAAAAAGTCTTTATTTATTGTAAGATCATCCGGATACTTTTATTGTAAGATCATCCTGAGACTATTTGGTAGTGGATGGTATAGAAAAGTTTCAAGTAAATAAATAATAAATAAAATGTGGGTGCACTGCTAGTCTTGGCTTTATGCCACGCTTACACAACTTGGTTTGACATGTCAGTGCTTTCCCTGTTCTTTCCTGAGTTGTTGGGAATTCTGAGGCAGCGAGAAGGTTTCCAAAGCCTTATTTTCTGAGGCACTGCACAAGAACTCAGAAGTTGTCTAAAGGAGAACACATAACCTTTCATGAAGGACACCATGAAATCTAGGCCTCAAATGACTCACCCCAAATGCTCAGCACTATCACGGCTGCAAAGAGAACAAGGATTGTGGTGCATCCAAACCCAAGAAGGCATCGATGGCATCGAGGGTGTCTCAGGAAGATCCCTGCAAGAGCCAAGGGTAAGTGGATCAGGTTAATTTCATTTATTCCTTTGATTGCATTTTGTACTGCCCAATAACTGACACTCTGGGCTGTTTGCAGCAGCACTGTTTACAATTTAAAACTGGTTTTGAAAACATGAGAAAAGCCCTGCTGGCTCAGAGGAAAAATCCATCTTGAGTGGCATCTTGGATACCAGCTGCTGGAGAACCAGGAGGCCATGCGTAATCTTCATGACTGGTAGCCATAGATAGCCTTGTGAGAAATGAAATGTTACTAAGTGTTAAGGGTGAAAAACAGGAATAGGGCAGGATCATTGAAGTCTCTTGTGGGAATTCATCGCTGGGTCACGCTGTAGTTACGTACGCCACGACAGCCAATAGTATTGTAATTTAGCTGTGTAACCATATAAGGCTTGTAACTATATAAGGCTTGTAACCATATAAAGCTATTTGTAAGCTTCGTGTATTCTGCGTCTGCGCAAAGCACTAGGGTGTTGGCCGCCTGTACTCGACGACCAATTGGTTGTATGCAAATGCCTATGTAAAGCTGTGTAGTAATAAAAGGAGGTGCCGGAGGGGAGGGGGAAGTTTTTTCTTCTTTTTTCTTCCCCTGCAACTAAAACCGAGCATGCTCTGTAACTGATCTCCGGACTGCAGTTTTTCTTTCTCTCGTGTAACTTTCTCGCGCCATTGTCGGAGCTGGACTCTGACAAGTGGTGCCCCGTGTGAGGCAAACGGATTGCCTCGATTCAACCTTCGGCTGCAAAGCTGACGGTTCCCGCGATCGTCAACTCCCCACGCCCGGCAAGGGTTTCAGGCGCCACGCATCTTCGGATCCCGGGTGAGTGTGACTGGTCAAGTTAGAACGCCACTGAAATGGGCTCCTCATTGTCTACCGAGCAACAGGCGTTTAAACACGACCTCCATTTTTTACTTACTAAAGAGGGACATTCTGTCACTGAAAAGGAGGTCGAAGAATTAATTAAAGCAATTGATGATGTTTACCCCTGGGTACCCGAGTCCGGCATGCTAAAGCTGGAGGATTGGTGTAAAATTGGTACATGTTTTCAAGATCATCCCCACATAACATCAAGAATCTTGTTTACATGGTGCAAAGTCCGCGCTTGTTTAAAAGGACTAACACCAACTAATATATTGTTTAACCAACAATTGGAAACTGGGACCATTCCGTCTGCACCGCTGCCGCAGTTATTACCACCTGCACCGCCCCCAATACCCAAGCCCCCTCCAAAATATGAGGGGCACCACCACTTTCCGCCATCAAAACCGCCTGACGATTTGGGATCGGATAATGAGGAACCTGTCATAACCCTGGCTCCTGCTATGCAGCGTACAGCCGCTTTAGCCGCTGCCTTGCAAACAGCAATTATGGAGGAAGGGGATCCGGGATCACAAGAGATCCCAGCAGCGTTTCCGGTGCTCAGAGGGGCCCCCAGGGGAAGAGGCATGCAAGCTGTCCCGGATAGATATGAACCCTTACCATTGCAGACATTGAAGGAGTTACAGCGGTCTATTCGGGATAATGGCATACAGGCCCCATATACCAGGGCTTTGTTGGAAAGCATGTCCCTCCAGAGGCTAACGCCAACGGATTGGAAAATGATTCTCCGCTCTCTCCTCCCCCCTGCCCAAGGTCTCCTTTGTATGGAGGCCTGGCGGCAAGAGGCAGCTGTGCAAACATACCAAAATGCAATGAATAATATCAATATTACGGAAGATATGCTGCTAGGAGAGGGAGCCTTTGCAACGGCCGTACAACAAGTTGCATTAACAGATCAAGCCCTAAGTCAAGTGGCTAATATAGTCATTAAAGCCTGGAAAAAAATTCCGGAACCTGGAGATAATTCTTTGTCCAGCTTCGCTAATATAAGACAAGGTGCCGTGGAGCCATATACAGAATTCATTAATAGACTAATGCAGGCAGTGGAACGCCAAATTGACAGTCCTAGAGCCCGAAAATTATTGCTCAAGCAGCTAGCGTTTGAAAATGCAAATGAGGACTGTAAGACGGCCCCCACACCTATTTATAATAATCCAGATACCGATATACAATCTATGCTTCGGGTGTGCCAGAATGTTGGTTCGCAAACTCATAAGGCACGTTTGCTTGCAGCTGCAGTACAGACATTTCAACAGTCTAATAATCCTGCTGCTGGAAAGAAATGTTTTGGGTATGGCAAAGAAGGCCATTTCCGGGCACACTGCCGTTCTGTTCAAAGAAGCGCGGCCCGTCCTTCGAAAAAATGCCCTATTTGCCAGAAGGGTTTCCATTGGGCCAACCAGTGTCGCTCACGCCCCGAGGCGGGACAACAAGGATCCGGCAGTAGCCAGGGAAACGAGAGGAAGGGCCAACCCCGGGCCCAGGGAAAACAATAGGGGAACTGCAGAGTAATTCGTTTCCTGAGCTGGCCTTGGGGGCAGAGTGGCCATTTTGCAGCCTGTCAAATCCTCGCCTCCACACTATAGGAGATGATCAAAAGCCACATGAGTATAACCCAGGTTGTTCTGGACTACCTGTGGTTCTTGCTTCATCGGTTACGCTCAATCCGGGGTTTGCCGTGCCTGTACCTGCTCGAGTATCCCACCCGGTACCTGCAGGTCATATTGGTTTATTACTTCCTATAATGGGCCTGGATCATTGGCATGTGGTTCCTGGACTATATGAGCCATCCGGTTCAACAGACGTTGTGCTGCATCTCTGGGCCACTATGCATATGGAAGTTCTGGCAGAATCACCCGTGGCTCGTATGATTTTGATACCATTGTCAAGCGAAAGGGACTCTCGGCAGTCTTGCCAGCCTATGCCGAGTAATTTGCAAACTACTCCCATTGCTATGGCAACTATCCAATTGACAACGGACAGACCTTATTTATCTGTCACCATGGCAGGACGCTGTATAAAAGGGATGCTGGATTCAGGGGCAGATGTGACTGTTATAGCAAAAAAGGACTGGCCTGACAAGTTCCCCACAGTTCCTGCATCGCTTGTTTATGGAGTGGGAGGCTTTACAGCTGCTTCCCGAAGTGTACAGCAAATTACTTTTCACTCTGAAGGCCGCATCGTGACTTTACGACCTTTAATAATGGACATCCCAATTACCTTATGGGGCAGAGATTTACTTTCCTCCTTAGGAGCTACCATCAGTACAAATTTATCCTAAGGGCCTCCCCCTCAGCGCCACTGCATGAATTGCCCATCCAATGGAAAACAAATGCGCCAGTATGGGTAGACCAGTGGCCGCTGCCTTTACAAAAGCTCCAGGTGGTGGAGGCCCTTATTCAGGAGCAACTTCAGTTGGGTCATATTCAGCCTAGTTCCAGCCCATGGAATACACCAATTTTTGTGATAAAAAAGAAGTCAGGAAAATGGCGATTACGACAAGATTTAAGAAAAGTGAATGAATGTATGCAAGTGATGGGACCTGTTCAATGTGGGATGCCAAATCCAAACTTGATCCCACAAAATTATAAATTGAAAATTATTGACTTGAAAGACTGTTTTCTTAATATATTACTAGTCCCTCAAGATCGGGAAAAAATTGCATTTACAGTTCCAGTGCTGAACAACGATCGCCCTACGCAAAGATATGAGTGGTGTGTTTTGCCTCAAGGAATGGCAAATTCTCCCACCCTCTGTCAGCTATTTGTTGCTTTGGCCCTGCAACCATTTCGATCAGCATTTCTGGACTTAATGGTGTATCATTACATGGATGACATCTTAATAGCAGGAAAAAATGTTGATAAATGTCACCTGGACTTTCTCGTTGTTTCGTTGGAAGCATATGGACTTTATGTAGCACCAGAAAAGGTCCAAGAAGTCCCTCCGTTCAAATACTTGGGACACCAGCTCTCGGAGAAGGCCTCAGTGCCAGTGTTGCCACAGTTTCATATTCCAGAAACATTGACTTTGGTACAGCTCCAAAGTTTGCTGGGGAATATTAACTGGGCTAGGCCATCTTTAGCCCTTACTACTGATGACCTTTCACCACTATTTTTGGCCCTGACAAGTCATTCATCTCCAGCAGATAAAATCCCTGTCACTCCAGAAATGAAAACTGCTTTTAGATTACTTGCTCAAAGGCTTCGTGTTCGGGCAGTTGATCAGCTGCCAAACGAGGATTCACAATTGTCTTGTTTTATTTTGTCAACACCATTATTACCAACAGCCATTCTTTACGTGCCCAAAGATAAAGAGACAATCTGCATAATAGAATGGATCTATTTGCCACATACACCATCACGAAATTTATATCCTTGGATAACAGCAGTGTCAGACTTGTTCTTTAAAGCCCGGAATAGAACATTACAGCTTTCTGGAAAAGATATTGACTGTGTGTTTTTTCCTTTTAACCAGGGGGAAGTAGAACGATTGTTGGTGACATCTTCAGAGTTTCAAGTTGCATTCGCCGGATTTTTAGGGAGAGTGCTCCATAATCCACCGAAGGATAAACGTTTGCAGCTATTTTCACAGATTTCATATAAATTAACCTCCTGCTTTTCTTTACAGCCACTGTCACATGCAATAACTTTGTTTACAGATGGTTCTCCTACCCGAGGAGTGGTTACTTGGCAGATGCCAGATGGCTCTTGGTCATCGAAGTTCACTGAAAATCAATCATCAGCACAGCGGTCTGAACTAGCAGCTGTAATTTTAGCATTTCAATTGTTTGCGCAAGAAGATTTTAATCTTATTGTAGATACTCAATACGTTTATAAGTTGTTGCTACATTTACCATTGTCATATTTGTCACCTGCTATTGATAGAGAACTTTATGGAATGTTTTGCAAGCTGCAACAATTGATCCAAGAACGATCATATTTCTGCTATGTGGCTCATATTAGATCCCATACAGGATTCTCAGGCTTATTGGCAGAAGGAAATGCTCGAGCTGATGGTGCACTTAAACAGAATGTTTTTTCTTTATTTGATGACCCCATCCTATCTCATGATACATTTCATCAGTCAGCTAAAGTTTTGCATA